CCATCGTATCAATCTCAACCAACTTTTTTTCTACTAGTAATGATATATCAAATCCACATTTTCAATGAAAAAATAATAATCTGCACCAACATTAAATAATTTTACTAGTATTTCTAGGCTTAAGTTCAGAGCGGCTAATTGTAAGCGTCGTCTAAGAATATACAGAGCAGTTATTACAACTTTAGAGAAAAAGGAGAATAATTCTTAGCGAAACTTCCGAATTGCAACCCCGTTCATGTAATAATTTTACCGAACGCCTAATTATACGCACTGGTGGACGGCTGTAGGGTTCATTTCTTCCTACTTTATGTATGAGAACACTAGCAAATATAAACGAAAATTGATGACTTTATAAACTTTGAATAAATCAAAAGAAAAAACTAAATAGCGAAAATCAGCTTCAACTGCTAAAAAAAACCTTGGAATAAATACAGGATCTCACAAAACTCAAGCTGTGCCTTGAAAACTGGTTGATTTTAAAGCAAATTTTACAGTGGATATGGAAACGAAACTTGCTAGCCACTGTGAAGATTTAGGCCCGAATTTATAAACGATGTTTGAGTTCCAGTCGAGCCTCAAGCACGATAATTTTGCTTTATCAACCGACCTCCGATTTGAAACGAACGTCGGACTTGAGAACGATCTCCACCTTTGAGTTCAGATCAATTTGTAAATACGGGCCTTAGATACAAGATGTTTCCTAATAAGGGCCAGAATATTTCGTTCGTTAGCATTTAACTATGCAGGACTTAGTCTAATAAATAACATGTTCAATAGGTAGAAAGCATATGACGAGTTGAGGCTGGCCGCAAGACTTTTGTAGAAAGCATGCAACAAAACTGAAAAAAACTTGCGCCCTAGTAAAAACGCCTGTAGAGAATAATGGTTTTTGTTGGTACAACTTTTCATACATAATGTCCACATGATTGGCTGTATTTTACTAACTGCCATTTTTGTGCCACATTCATAATTTTTCCTTGGAAGAAGTGAAAGAGAGCCATTGATGGCCCCGGTTTCGTTGATATCTGATCGCTTTCTTTGCTATATTAAAAGAACATTATTGACAGATTGGATAAGAGCATTTTTAATGGTTTGTTTAATCTATTATTAACCAACATAGTTGTTTAAGAATGTGGATTAAGTATTTTGGAATACCTACTAACGGCAGTTTTTCCTCCGGTTGGTTGTGTGATTTGTAAGTTATTAGTAAGAACAAATAGTTGGTGTATGGTTGAGTTTTTTTGAAGTATGATGCTTTAAAAACTAAAATAAAATTTGGCAGTTGAATCAACATTGGTTGACTGGTCCATTTTTAAAATAGGTATTATTATTGCGTTCGTCCATGACTTGGAAATTTAGTTAGTTCTGGTGCATTCATGAGTTGTTTTAATATGAGGTAAAATTCGACTTTTTGCAAATGTATCAGTAAAATGCTGCATCAGCCAGAAAGTAAATTAATAATCTGCTCCACTTCAACTCCACTCCAACAGCTTCAGCTCAATTATAAATCATCGTGCAGTTTATACATTTCAACAAACATCGAAATTGAAATATAAAAATTAATCAAATCCGGGGTGTGCCTTTAAATTTCACCTCTATTCTTTCCTTTTATTATAAAATACGTATTTTTAAATCAAATAAAATCTTAAAATCCGCGTTTTGAGTGTTCTTGTTCCGTTCGACAAATAATTTTTCTACCCTATTTATTCGAACCCGCTGCTTCACACTCTATGTAAGAACGGCACAAAGGGCAATTTATCTGTCGAGTGGGTAAATACAATCTTGTCGTTTTTTACCCAGGGAACTATTTTATTGTTCCCTACCTTTATAATACGACTGCAAAAATAGCAGAGTTACACTTGTGACGACATTTTTAATCATTGTAATATTATTTATTGTTATCAAAATGGACTCAAAGCTGATCAATACGGAGTGCTAGAAATTATTTGCCACATAAATCTGTTCGTTACGTAATTGTCTAAATTAATAAAATTTTAGCGATTTGTGGATTTATAAGATTGCAAAATCAGCAATCAAATTGGAAACACTTCAAAACTCAGTGGCAGACAAAAACTCAAAAAAATATTATTTATACAAAAATATTTACTCAGTTTCTGACTGAAAAATCCAAAAATATAGTTCATTTAAAGTGAAATCGACATTCATCAATTAATATCTACCATCGACTTAACACAACATCGTAATAAAACAAATCAACGTTATTTAAAGTGCGATGTTAATTTTAAGCTTTCACATTAGTAAATATCAAATAGGAAACGAGCTCCTAATATATTTAACATAAATCCATTCGCTTTTGACAAAAAGAGACTAATGATGGCCTTTTTTATTGGCATTTGATATTTAAACAAAACAACGGTTTGGAATGATTGATTATACGATGATGGATAGCATAATGAGACCGCTCTTTTTAAAGTTCGCAAGCCGAACCCTAAATGGTCATTATCTTTGATCAGAACGTAATAGCACCCTTATGAATGTAAATTATATTTTTTATTGACACGGACGGCATAAGTTTTAATTACATAAGTAAGATTACCTAGCAGGATTAAACGGAAATTTGTGGCTCGAGAAACTTTTTAAAAGAAAACTTATTTCACGAAGGTGACTCTTTATTAAGGCAAAAATATTTCCTAAATGACTTAGTGAACTAATATTTTGCTTCAATCGGCATTCACGATATTCGAGAACTTTCAAAGCTGGAAGTTTATCTGTAGCTGTAACGAATAAAAGTTTATTGCTGACGCAGATTTGCTACACTAAAATACTTTCAACAACTTTATATAATGTTCACATATTTGTATTTTTAGCTTCTATGTAAAATTTACTCAATTTAACACTACTAATTTGCTTATTTTGTGCTGTTAATTTATAATAAATTTTAGTATATTTAAAAATATTCCAGGTATAGCTCTCCACTAAAATAATGAATGAACATTGACAAGGGGTTCCATTATTTTGAGTGCTTAGTCATGTTAGTAAATTAATCTCTTGTTTAAACTATTGTGCCTTGCAAAATGTAGAATCTTTAAATGCGAAAAATACACAAAGTAGTCACATTGTATGTAAAATTTCGACACTAAAATACCCTCTTCATTATTCAACGTCCAAATTAACAAGGGTTTGTTTAATACTCGTTTACCAGCGAAGTGTGAACTATAAAACTAGCTATAAAACTTTTAACTCCCGAAAGTTCTTTCAATATCACCACAAAACCGCCCAAAGCACTAATTGGACAATTTATAAAGGTTTTTCAGACTATTGTTAGAACCACTTTCCTTATTGGTTGCAATAAGTATTACCACAGCTCCAGTAAAGCTTTCTAGTCTGGATGAACGCCTAAGGACCAAATTTGAAATATAAAGTTTCTGCTGACGCAATGAAAATGCAACTTCTACTATGCTCATAAACTAGTAAAAATACTCATCAAAAAATTATTTTATATTTGTTACTCTTTACTAACATTAGTCTAACCAATTATTCCCAGTTCTTTGATCACTGTTTTGTCTCATACTACTCGCGTAAAGCCTTCGTAAATAGCTCCTTAAGTAAAATTGAGATCTATATTTTTTCTACAGTTTTGTAGACAAAGTTAATTAATATAATTCTATTAATCTGCTTCAAATCAAAATGCCTGCAAGTGGTCTTAAAAGACTTACGAACAGACGCAATAAAAATCAAGACGGAAGTCAAAGCACACTAAATAACGTTAAAATGAAAGCCGTCCAAACCAAACGGAAAACTTTGCCCCCTTCATCAAATTTTCATGGGCGTTTTCTTTCTGGCGCAAGTTGACAAAGTTACATTGAAAAAATATTACGGGCCTTAGCATTTCAATTTAATATTTTTAGGCACTTTTTAAAAAATCCTTTAAAATCACATACCTCAAACAATTTTATATTGTTTATAACTAATAAATATGTTTTAATATATTATAATAACAATAACAAAATTATCCAAAACTTTTAATTTTGCGTGAAAGACAGAACAACGCATGAAAATTATTTCCTAATAAGTAAATATGTCAACTATAAGCTATTTGCTCTATAAATTGATATAAAGATTTTAAAACTTGATGTTTAACTAGTTCCAATTTCTTCTTCATGGTATTTAAAAAAATTAATTTCTCTTGAGATCCATTAATATTTTTAAATTAATTCAACGAGTTCTCAGGAAGGGTTTCACTAAACACTTCGCTTTGTAATTGGCTAGTTTCAAAGTGGCATTCGAAGGTAATAAGTAAAGTATTCATAGTCAGTGTTGAAAATAAAATAAAACTGTTACAAAATATGGTATGAGCGTACTAAAACGACGTTCGCAAACACTCTGTTGCTATTGTTTTTACATTTTGAAAATAATGACCAAGAAGAGGCTTCTCTGCAAAAGATATACAACTTTTTAATTGAAATTCCAGCTCCAAATGTTCTGAACATTTTTATAAATTAACTTTTCATTGTCATCTGTTAACGAATGCTTACAAAAGTAGCATAGTTCAAAGTGTAGTAGTGTAGTTCAAAAATTGCCCTTAATTCTGCATAAGTCATTCCATGCGCTTTAGACAGTGAGCAACGAAAGTTACTCTGCTGATAGTTGTGAAGTAATGAAAAAGATTTATGTTTAAACTGACGACAAATACGGGCTGTTGAGCATGGTTTATTCGAAGATTATTTGTCACAGCAAACACATCTTGTTGAAAGCAACGACGAGCTCGTTTGCTCAAATCGATATCATGTCGCCGAGATTAATATCTTTACCACATAAACTTTACAAGGATTTATTTTAGATTGTTGGTAAATCGAAAAAGTGCTTATACTCCGTGAAATCGGATATTAAACATCGTCAGTTTCAACTAGCCATTTCCATTAATTACACAGTTAGAGATGAATTATCAGAAGTCCCTAGCGACTCACTGGTAATGGAGCGTTCGTTTCAAATTGTTTTTAAATTATAATTGATATCGAAATAAATGACTTTTGTTGCAGATGACGAGGCTGATGAATTCACGATTCATATAGCACGCTATAGGCCACAAGAGATACACAAATTAGCCTCAAAGACCAAATTCACCAAGAAGGAAATTCAGTTGATTTACCGAGGATTTAAACAGGTATTGTTTTCCTAATCCCCAGTCTCATGGGATACTTTTTAAATGAAGGCCGCCATATTCTCAATGTAGAACCCTCAAATTTATTATATGCAGCTTTTCAACCTAGTCTGGGTAATATTGTTCTTTGTTTTAAGTGAAATGAGAGCAAATTTGAATATTCATACTTGGGCAGAAGGATTTTTACTCGCTTAGATAAACTTGAAACATTATGTTGAAGTACGGAAACTTTCTTGGAATATTCAGCTTAATTTATAGGCTTCCTTGCAGATAGTAATTGTTAGACTCCGATATTATGCTTTTACAAATGGTTCATTTAGTCGCATTTCAAATCTTGGAATTAGCACAAAGATCATACTAAGCGACTAACTATTGTGTACAGAATTTTCGAATTTTGTAAATTAAAATTGCGACAGATGTCGAAAATATTTTCTTCTGCTTTTCCAGGAGTGTCCAACAGGCATGGTAGATGAAGAATCATTTATCCACATATTCTCCCAGTTCTTTCCACTAGGAGGTAAGCACTAATTTAAAATAATCAAACTTCAGCTCGCCATAAAACTCCCGTTTCTTTCCACAGCCTTAGCTACCTATTTCCTTTTCAATGTACCTACCAAGAAATATATGTCTATAAGCGTTCTTTCCTTTTATATTTTTTATGATTTATGGCATGTTCTTATGGTGTCAATTTTCACCTGATCGTGAAAAATAAGGCCGTAAAAAGTGAAAACAGCGACTGAAATGTGTTAGAAAACCTGAGAAGCGAATACATAAAGTGACTGACATTTTCTTTCCAACTGGAGGGCAATAAAATTATGAATGCGAAATTTTAGATCGTAATTTTCGATTAATTTAATGAGAAAAATTTGACTACCTCTCGATATCATGGGCAGACTTTAGTTAAAAAGCTTTTAGGTTTTCTTTACCGAAATTATTGATTGCTAAGCTATCGCCATTACACCATTTGATTGGCCAAGATTCAAGTGATTGTCCTAATTCAGTTTTTAATTATTCAATAATTAGTTGAATTAATTCCAAAAAAATAAATTTAGTTGCTGTTGCACATTAGATCATCACTAAATGGTTTTGTAATGCAGAGAAAATGCTCATATCAATCTGGCTCTATCGTTAAAAACAACACAACTTCAGAAAATTTAAAAAAATGACGACAGGAATTCTTCATAGAATCTGCCATAAGAACCAATGCTTGCGAAAATAAAAATTGACAAAACAGAACACATAATAAGGCACCAAAGAAAAATGTACGAGGCGTTTCAATACTCCTACAGTCAGTAGAAATACAGAAGGCATCAATATTTTACAGAAATCCTGGAGTGGAAATGACACAAAAGAACAATATGTGAAAGAACCATTAACATAATGAGAACCAGCTGTGGAACCGAGAACGCGAAATATTTGTTAACTGGGTGGGCTAAATCTTCCCTTCAAAGATACATCAATTTTCCAACGATTGCCAATGTTCCTACTCAACCCCAGCACGAAAACGAAGTTACCCCTTATTTTTTAATTAGTGAAATCGAACAGTGACTCATTTAAACTCTGTTTTCCTCATTATTTAAAGTTTAAAAACATTTTAAATTGCAAAGGTACCGACTCTGCCTTTTGAGCTAGTAAAAGCTGTTAGCTTGACACTTTATTTTAAAGTTACATTTGACAAAAACAAGCCATCAAAAGAAGTTTGGCTAAAGATTTACAACTAAAACACTATTTAGAATTCAAAAATTCTAAGTGGCACGTTTAGTCATGTTATATTAGGAAGATTCATTATTTCTCTTGAAAAAGACATATTGTGACGTGATATTTCAGGAGAAAAATTACAAGGAGACTAACAAAACAAAGGATTTTAATTTGCACATTCCGTCTGTTGTTCGTATTCATATTAATGACCTTCTTCTAATTTCAGATGCTACGAATTATGCCCATTATGTTTTCAACACTGTGAAACAGAAGCAAACGGGCAAAATAAGTTTTGAGGTGAGCTCCAACAATGTACAATGCTTCTCTGGCTTTAGAAGTAGGATTAAACATGTTCGAAATGAGCTAGCAAACTATTCATTAATCAATTAATTAATGTAAGGATTAGTTGAAAACTATTAAATATAAATATATATTGCTTAGAGCTATTACGAGGTCAGTTAGTGAATTGGAGCTCGAAACAACTACAATTGATTAGCACAAATGATAAAATCCTATAGGTTTTAAAAATTGCTGATTGATGTTGAAAATTATTTGCCCCACAATATTTCTAAGATTTCAGCAAATTATAGATTATGCAAGCGTGCGCTTTTTGAGCGAGCAATTGATAAAAATTGATGAATTTGATGATCTATATACGCTTTTTGAAACTACCATAAAGTTTGCAGAAATAGTTTCTTCCTCTCTAACTCGCCTGCTGATATACCGTACAAATCTTAATCAGTTCCAATGGATTGAAATCCAGCCATCATTTGGATTTCTAAAAAAACAGCTTTTCTTGATCGGTCAGCTTTTGCGGTAGAATAAGCTTTTATCGAACTACTCGAGTATATTATAGAATGATGAGAATAAGTGCTGGGAGGAAAAAGGCCGATTTACGTCAAAAAAAATATAAATGTGCTTTTAAATTGTTTCGTAGAGTTTCCTCTGCAGGTCAACCAAATTGTATCCTTCGATAACTAGTAACTAACCAGTTGTTCATCGTGTTTTATTTGAGAGAAAATTGTCGAGCTGTGGATATTTAAATATTAAGTAATCCTGTCTAGAATCTGTGATTCGCGTTTCCCCGAAATACTCAAATGCCCAATTTTCCTTCCTCGCTAGATGGTTTACGGGATTACGGGAAATGAACTGCTATGTTCCCGCACAGAAAAGTGCAAATATTTGACAAGTCCATAGTAGAAAGAATTTCTTGTGGCAATTTATTGCTATCCTGACGATTTCTCCTTAAGAAAATGCTTGTCCGTATATCCTGCATTTGCAAAACGGGGTGGCAATATAAACTTATAGGAAACTTAAAGAAAAGGAAACTTTTATAGCCTGGTGAGCTTAATCAATGCTTTTTTCGGTAATTCTTTGAGGATCTGTCCTGTGATTAAGTCGAACCCAGGAGCTTTTTTCGGATTGATATTAGTTTTTATTTCTATAATTACTTCACTCAGAGTGACAAACGGGATTTCTCCTCCTTCCTCCTCCTTCCAAGGCAATGTTTCTGCGTTCCTCAAGGTGTTCTGCAAATCTTCTGGCTTTTCGCTCATTGTTTTTAGCCCAGCTCCCGTCTGCATTTTTGATTGGGGGTGCATGCATGATTGGTCTTTTCAGGTTTTTGGTAGTTTTCCCTAGCGAATATTCTGTCCTAGAATCATTAGTAAGTTTCCGTAGGAACTCGCCAATGGTATCGTTCTTTATCTGTTTAATCGCTCGTCTCAGCTGAGATGTCAGATTATTTAGTCTAGTTTTATCCTGCGGGGATCTGAACTGTTGTCATTTTTCCCTTGCTTTTCTTTTTTCCGATAATAATTCCAGAATTTCTTTAGGGTAGTTATTTCCTTCCAGCTTCCTTTTAATTTCTGGTTTGTTTTTCCATGCTGAATGTTAATTCTTGGATATTTTGCCAACAATTTTTATCTTTTCGAAAGAAAGGCTCTTGTCACGTCTTCTATTACAGACTGACAAAGAGTGCTCTTTCTTCACATTAAAGGACGAATTCTTTAAACATCCTGCTCTCCTGATTCAAATCGAAACTTTCGTATGTGAGCAAAATTTCGCCAATAGCGAGCATCTGCATCGACAACGGCAATAACGTAACGCTAAACTCCTGCGTCTCATATTTGCTCGCTACCTCCTTAAACATTCTGCTCTCCTGATACAAATCGAAACTTTCGTGTGCCAGCAAAATCACGCCAATAGAGAACATCTGCATCGGCAAAGACAATAACGTAACGCTAAACTCCTGCTCCTCATATTCGCTTGCTACCTCCTTAAACATTCTGCTCCCCTGATACAAATAGAAACTTTCGTGAGCCAGCAAAATCTCTCCAATAGATAGCATCTGCATCGACAAAGACAATAAAGTAACGTTAAAACTCCTGCTCCTTATATTTCCTCGCTACCTCCTTAAACATTCTGCTCTCCTGATACAAATAGAAACTTTTGTGTGCCAGCAAAATCTCACCAATAGATAGCATCTGCATCGACAAAAACAATAACGTAACGCTAAAACTCCTGCTCCTTATATTTCCTCGCTACCTCCTTAAACATTCTGCTCTCCTAATACAAATAGAAACTTTTGTGTGCCAGCAAAATCTCGCCAATAGAGAGCATCTGCATCGACAAAGACAATAACGTAACGCTAAACTCCTGCTCCTCATATTTGCTCGCTACCTCCTTAAACATTCTGCTCTCCTGATACAAATAGAAACTTTCGTGTGCCAGCAAAATCTCGCCAATAGAGAGCATCTGCATCGACAAAGACAATAACGTAACGCTAAACTCCTGCTCGTCATATTTGCTCGCTACCTCCTTAAGGCAATTTCGAATTAGAACAGAAATTGATATAGAAAAGTTCTTTGAACATATTTATTTCAGCCAAGTTTTACAATACTTCT